ACAGGGATTTCCAAGTGACACTGCAGCAGAGCCTTCCCAACATCCCCTGTGGGTTGGGCCCTTCTGAAATGGACCCTCTTCCAGGATCTCCCCAATGTCCCTTGTGTGTGTTGTCTCATTTGAGATGGACTTTCTCCCAGAGCCTTCACAATTCTCCCTGTGTATGTTGTCCCATCTGAGGCAGACCTTCTCTTAGGAAACAGATTGATCCAAGAGTGTGAATTTCAGCAGCCTAAAGGGCTGAGCTGAGGGTAATGTGTCCAGCCTCTCTGCATACCTTGGATCAGAGACCAGCAGTGTAGTGCTTGGTTGATTGTGTCAACTTGAGAAGTTTACATGCTTAACTAATGTGGCTCAATAACTCTATACCCTAGGGTGTTGAGGTCCTGCTCTGGGGCAACTCGGCCACCTGGATGATATAAAGGGGAAATAAGGAAAAACAGATTTGCTTCTGTTCTTCAAAGGAGCTCTAGTCTTCTCCGTCAGCATGGATATCATCTCCTGGCTTCTAGCATAGACCTTGCAGCTCCTGCCTTAGATCCTTCAGCCTTCTGGTGTAGATTCTTCAGCCTTCCATCGCAGACCAACTGGCTTCCTAATACAGACTCACATAGGACGCTGCAGTGAGCTCCAGACCTTGGACTGAGAACTTCTGCATGCTTCTCCATCTAACTCTGTGGCTGACCATCATAAGCCAATCTTATAGTTTCTTATACATCTGTATATCTTGTGTTATATCTGTTTTTCTAGTAAATCCTGACTGATATAAGCAGGAAAATGACCTATGCTACAGTGGATCCTGCAGGAGAGATGAGGTGGTTGTGGCCCATCATGTGGGCTGCTGGGGTTCTCATGAGTGACTCCATACACACACCTGCCCTTGACACTCAGGAGTGTCATGGTCTAGCTTTGTCTCTGCAGTCTAAGCACACTGGAACACCCTTTGGGGCCTTGTGGCACGGTGGGCTGCTCCTGTGTTTGTTTCCTGTGTGTTCTCCCATACCCAAGGCTTTCAGGAGAAGTCAATAATGCAGAGAAGATTGAGAACCTGTAGAGACAATGGCAGACCTTGGAGGTGATAACTAAGCTGGAAGACCAAAGATAATTCAACTACAAGTATTTATTCTCAGAAAATGTTTTTTAAATTGCATATCTACAATGCAAGAAGAGGGTAGTGTGAGGAACAGGCAGAGAGTAGGAACAATGCTTGAAATATGATTGCTGAACTTAAAATACACAAAATAGGGGGAGTTTAGGGTCAAAAAAGTCTTTCAGAACATATCTCAAAGGAATAGAGACACAGTCAGGTATGGTGGTGTATGCCAGAAATCTCAGAACTCAAGAGACTGATGCAGGAGGGTGGTCTTAAACTTGAGGCCAGTTTGAGCTATACAGTGAATTCAAGCCAACTTTAATTACACAGCAAGATCCTGTTTTTGGAGGAAAAAAAGAAATGGAGAAGTAATATAAAAGTTACAGATAATTTATAGAGGAGTAAAATATCTGACTAATGGGAGTTTCAAAAAAAAGAAGAGTGAGTGATTAGTTAAAATTAACAGAGGAAACGTCTTGGGCAGGGAGAAGGTATGACTCATCATACAGAGGCCTGCAGCTGACTGGGGAATTAGGGGCACTGCAGTCATTTGAGAATGCTCAGCCTGAGCCCCAGAGCTGTGGCAGGAAGACTGTCCTGTGAAGGGAAGGTCTGGCTCCAGCCCTTGGTGACACCAAACAGTGACGAGGCCACGTGACAAAATGGCAGCACAAAAATGAGATTTAACTCCTCTCCCAGGAAAGAAAAGAAAGAAGAGAAACAGTTGAATGAGCATGGTAACATGAGTGTGACCTGCAGGGGACAATGGGAAGACTGCAGGAGGAGTACCTTCCCCTCTGTCTTGCAGAGAGCTGTCACTTCCGGAGAGGGCCGAGTGTGAGTAACCCTAACCCTGACCCTAGCCCTTACACGTCACAACAAAATCTGGATACATAAAAATTTAATTGGAATGAAAACAGTAAATGAATAATGACAGATTGCTAACATGAGGGAAAAGTAACAGGGCCTTTCTAAGCATGATACAAAGATGAGAACCCATAAAATAAGATTAATAAATTTAACTATGTAAAAATAGAATATAAGAAGAAAGACCAGAAACCTGAGCCAAACAAGGGACAGGGGCAGCTGTCATCTTCCAGAGATAGCACACTAGACCTGTGGCAGGGGTTCAATATTATTCATCTTTCTGAAATTCAGGTTGGGGTGTGTGTGTGTGTGTGTGTGTGTGTGTGTGTGTAGCTCTAAGGACTGTACCCAGGGCCTCACATATGCTAGACAAGTGCTCTACCACTGAACTACCTCCTCGGCCATTTTTTAAATTTTATTTTGAGTCAGGATCTCACAAAGTTGCACAAGCTGGCCATGCACTTGCAATCCTCTGCTTTAGCCTCCCAGTAGCTGAGATTATAGTTCTACACCAACATGTCTGGTTTCAGGTTGAGATTTATTTGCCAGTATAACCATATTGAGAGGAATCAGGACCTACAGGAGGTGATTAGGCTGTGAAGAGGGATAATTGCTGTTCTTTCAGGACTGGGTTAGTTCCCTGGAGAACAGGTGGTTATAGAGTGAGCAGTGACAGAGCTCCTTCACTAATAGGGTCCACTTGCCCTCTTGCTCATCCACACATATACACAGCTACCTAATAGCAGGTCTACGGCTTCCAGAGCTGTGAGTTAAATAAACCTCCATCCTTTATAAATTACCTAGTAGGGGATGTTCTGTTTCAGCAACAGCAAACAGAGCAAGCCAGCCCATAGCATTATGAAAAGATTCACAATGTAAAGCAATACAAATCCAGGCCATAGGGTGCTGCAGGGTGAAGCTGTCCTGCTGATGTTCTCGGGAGTGACAGCACACGTGTTTGCCTTGACACTTAGGAGTATCGTAGTCTAGCTTTGTCTTCACATTCTAAGGACCAAGGTACACTGTGTGGGGCCCTGCTTCCTGGTGAGGGGTAGAAAGTGCCTCCTGGCATCTCCTGGCTGTTGGCAGTGATCACTGGATGAACCTGCTGCAGGGAAGTGTGGGGTGGACATAGACATAGAAGAAACCTGGCTGCCTCTGTCTTCTCCTCCACCTGACAGTAGGCAGTGACTCAGCTGTAACCCAACAGACAGATGGCTCTGCTAGCAGAGTGTGGAGCATCAACTTGGATGACTGTCATCCCTGGTGAATGCATGAACCAGAGCCATTCACCACCTTTCTGCTTCCCATAAAGGGGAAGAAATCTGCCTGAGAGGTGTTGGAGAGCTCCTGGAAGAGGAAAGAGCTGAATGTTCATCAATAGGAAGGAGTCTTAGTAAGTTTCGGTGCAGCCATAGGGTGAAAACCATATAGCTGTTTATCTTAAATGAGGCAACTCTGTATGTTGTGATTTAGAATAATTTAAATAAACATCAAGAGAAGAAAGCAAACCACAGTATGTAGGAGTGTCTGTGTGAACACTTAGTGGAATAGAAGTGTCTACTCATACATGTGTACCAGGTGCACAAATGACTTGTATTAAAAAGTCAATAATCAGAAAATGAGACAATGGAAAGGAAGAAAACCACTGAGTGGAGGCTGTGAGTGCCTTGTAGTGGAACATAGCAGGGCTTCCATCCTCCTCCTGAAACTCCTACTGAAATGAGGTATAGGAATGAAAATCCACAATATTTCAGAGTTAGGGAGAGAAAGGGGCAGGCTCACCAGATGAAATCCCGACCCTGACCCTGACCCTGACCCTGACTCTGACCCTGACCCTGACCCTGACCCTGACCCTAACCCTGACCCTAACCCTGCAGCAGACTAACCTTGCCCCTGACTAAGCAGCAGACCCAACCCTGATGCTGATCCTGATCCTGATCCTGAACTTGACCCAGGTCCTGGAACCCTACATAGCACACAGTGAGGGCTGACAGAACCCATGTTGCCCCCACACAGCCATGCGTGCAAACCCAGTATCAGCCCTGTCTTCCATCTGCACAGTTGCCTTTATGATCATCTGTGTATCGCTTCACCTGTGGAGCAGATTCTCAAGTTTGCAGGCATTGATAGTCTATCTACAAAGTGAGATGCAACTAGAAAAGAGATATTTCCACCCAAAGACATGGAAAGCAATCAGATTCATGAAAAATAGGCCAGAAAGTAACAAAGGTGAACAAGAACCCCAAAGAAGTGAGTTAGAAGGCAGTCACAGAGGTTTACTCCCAAGCGATGTCCCTGGGAGGATGGTGGCGTACGCGTGTGGTGGCAGCAGGCAGTTGAGGGTGTAGAGCCAGCAGGAGCAGCAATGCATTGGAGGTCCTGGGCACAGCAGAGGGGAAGCTGGGGGAGTACAGCCTCTGGGTGCAGGGCAGAAGAGCAACAAGTCATGGCTGTTGCAGGAAGGAGCGACACCATGACAGTTCACCCATCTGGTATCTTGGTCATCACCCTGCCTGGGTGACCTGAATGAAGCCAGAGTCACTGAAGGACACCTGCAGAAGAAGCCCCATGGTCTCCTGCTGCTCAGAACCAAGCATGATCTCTGGGTCCCAGGTCAGCTCTCTGTGCTCTATCTGCTGCCCTGATCAGCCTCTGTTGCTGGAGAGCCAAGAGGATATGGTACCCAGGGTGATCCCTGGATTCTGGATCCAGGATTCTGACTCCTGGACAACGCAAGGAGACAGTGATGACAGGAAAGTGGAAAAGGGCTGCCTTTGCTGCCCCCATTTTAGACAGAGGAGAGCAGAGTCCGAGGAGAGCAGGGTCCTAGGTCAGCAGGCCCTGTGCCCTGTGTCCTCTGCCTTTGATGAGAGTCCCTGGGGATGCTCAGTGCCCTTTCACTGAAACTGCAGCCTCTGATGTCGGGACCTTGACCACCATGTCACATATGTTGAACAGGACAGTATTCCAGGCAGCATGCTGAGTACATCACACAGAAGTGGGTCTGAGTGCTCTTCCTGCTGCCTAAGGATGAAAAGGAGTCCCATGCATGCAAGGCTGAACAGAGCATAAGACACTCCCCCTCCACGGCCTCTGGGTGCTGCCTTCTGTCCCATGTGCCATTTTATCAGGTGACTGACCAGCACCCATGCCTGGCCCTGGGGCTCCATGGAACCCCTTGTGTCCCCTACCACACACCTCCCCTTCTCAGATGGGTAATACCCTGTGTCCAGCTCTAGACCCTTGAGATCCAGGCTGTCCCAAAGGCTCTTTACTGTGACAACCTTTGAGTAGGTGGCAGGATTCTAGGGGGATTCTATGAGAAGACTCTCCCCACTTGAGCGCTGGTTACAGTTCTGGGCTTGCAGCCCCCCAGATTCTTCACAGGAGGTGTCAGATGGGGAACTGACTTGAAAGGGGCATCTTGCCAGCTCACTTGGATTGGAGGACCCAAGGAAAGCAGGGAGTGCCAGGCAGAGACATGTGGCCATTGTGCACAGCCTTCCTGGGTCTAGAGAACACCAGAGCCTCAGACCAGGCTCATGCATGGGCCAGATGGGAGTCTAAATAATGGCTCTTTGACAAGCATCTCACAGAATTCCTGATGCTTTAATGGTTGGGTTTCATGTGCTGGGCCCTCCAGCACACCAACGACTTGCTAGGCAGTTGTGGGTCCTTAAATCAATTTCTAAAAATAAGTAAACAGGCTGAGTACAGTGCACATGCTTGCAGTCATGGCTAGCTGAGAGGTTGACCAGGGGCTCACAAATTCAAGGCCCAGATCATTTTGTGAGATCCTGGAGACATAGCTCAGTGTAGAGTTTAATTTATTCAATCTTCAGTACTACAAAAAAGTAAGCCAGAGTAGTGGGTGGAAAGCTAGAGCAGAATGCTAATTATCAGGCCATGTCACAGTTGTTGGAGAGGTCTGCCTCACCCACCTGCAGCACAGTCACTCCCTGGGTTTCGTAGTCATGTTGCCCGCTCCCACCTGCACCGAGGTTTCCTGCCACGAAGCCACGGGGCGTTGGGTGCTTGCAGGACCACATGATTTCCTGACCTCGCCTTCCTCCCAACCTCGGGGCTACACCCTGCCAGGTGAGGGAGTAAACACGGCCAGGCCCTTCCTGTGTGAGGGTTTGTGGTTTCCCCACGAGGGCTGTGAGCAGCACTACCTTACCAAGTTTTGTTTTGAGATGCTTGTGGACTTGCTTGTGAGGAAAAGAGAGGTTCCTGGCCCTTTGACTGCATTCCCAGGGACATCCTGAAAATTGCAAGAAGTCACCAGGCTAAGGCTGCACCACTCACATATGTGCAGCAGTGTGTATGTGAGCATGTGAACATATGTGAACATGTGCATGAGGATAGTGGTGTGAACATATATGTGAGTATGTTTGTATCTAGAACTGTGCATTTCATCACAAGTGTACATCCAGGTTCCAACAGGGTACCAACCACCTAGAGGTTCTCTCATGACCCTGCTTGCAGCAGCTGCCCATTCTCTCTCCCCACCCCCACGGCATGCCATCGGATGGAGACTCATGCACATACATCATACAGCAGTGACATTGGAGGCCATCTCTCACCACTTGGCTTCTACTGATCCCCAGGTGTCCATGTCTGTCCCATGTTGCTGAGGGGTCCACCACTGTCCACTTGGTCACTTGCCTGTGGAAGACAGCCTCAAGGTGTGTCCAGATCTGGCCAGCACAAGGACATCTTTTCCCTGCAGAGGAGAAACAGACCCTGGGATGAGCTTGCAGTGTGAGGCCTGAAGGTCTTGGCCAGCCTCCCTTTGACTGGGCAGGACTGGGCCACAGAGCACAAAGTGCTGGGCCTCTCCACCCAACACCTTCACTGTGTATAGAAGAAGCTGGGCCTAGAGGGGTCATCAACTTCCTGGAGACAGCACAGTCCCAGTTCACTTTGCCCCATTCTGAGTAGCATCTCTGCATAGCCCTGTCCTGCCATGACTAGCACTCCCTCGTCCCTGAGTGTCCTTGCAGTGTTCCTGAAGCATGGCCAGCCTGGGCCCAGGCTCAGGAGCCTGCTTACTCCACAGTGCCACTCATCCTCCTCTGCTGTCTGCTATGACAACTTGGTACTTTTACTTCATTGAATGTGGGGCACAGTTTTTATGAGCAATGAAAGGCCATCCTAGTAGCATGGGTACTAAGGCACCCTGTCCTGTGTCCTGGTGGGTATGCCTAGGTCACTTAGTTAATCTCATCTATTCTGCGTTTGACATTTTTCAGATCCTGGTCCTGTGGCAGGGGTCACTGGCGCTCTGTCCTGCCCACCAGACATTGCTGCAGCTGGGTGACGCTACTGGTTGGAGAGGGGCAAGGGCAGATACTTCAAGAGTGTCTTCAGGGGCAGGGGAAGCAGGAAGCTCTGGAGGCCCACAGCTCAAGGGGAATCTGTGAGTCAACATTTCCTGGTGTGTTAATCCGATGGCAGGACCCAAGCCTCAGCTTCTCCTTACTTTTGGTCTTGACCCTGACCATGGAATGGCAGCCTCTGGAGCTATAGGCGTCCAGTCTTCTCTTGTTCTCTTTATCTTTACTATTAAGGTCTGGCCTGACCCAGACATTTTTGTCTTATGTTTGGGGACATGGTACCAAGGGGACCCTGGGTGTCACAACTTCCTTTCACTTGGTGATCTTTTCTTTGTCTTGCCCCTAGCAAGAGCTAACATTCCATGGTTTGAGGAATCAATTACCCTAAATGCCAGTGCCTTTCTCCCACAGGACCCCACTACGCTTCCCTGGCCACTCTGCTCAGGAATCACCCAAGGCAGCACCTGCCCTCATGAGGGTTCTAGACCTGGATGCAGAGTCATGAGGAAACTGTAGGGTTAAAGGAAAGGCAGAGCAGCAGCTGGCCAATCTGTCCTCTGCAAAGCTGAAGAGTGGGACCACTGTTTCAAGTCATCCATGTGGAAAAAGGTCGGGTGGGGTAAAAAAGGATCCGCTGGCGCTCTGCAAGTTCCGAGGCCGCCATTGAGGAGACGACGCGACTCCATCCTGGGTTAAACTGGCGGATCAACGCGGAAGGCTCTGAGGATAGGCCTAGTGTGCGGAAGGTCATCGGCGGGAGTAGGGGTGGAGTGTTCAGCGCACCCCGGGTCTCCTGTGCCTCTGGCTCTGCTCGTTCTGCTCCCGGTACAGAGGGTCCTTGGACCCTGAGGCTGGCATGGGAACTTTGTCCTGTTTGATGCTGCTTTTTAAATCTTAAAACAAGTTATCCTATGGAGCCCGCAGTTACTGCAAGCGGCTCGGAGACTTCCCTTTGTCTCCCCTCCTAGCGGAGCCTGCGGATAGGGGTCGTACGCGCGGCAGCAGCGGGGCTCCAATAGGACGCTTGGGCCAGCCCGCGGGGCGCCGGGCCGGGCCAAGGCCGCTGTCCAAGGGCCGTCCCAGGGATGGGCAGGCCAATGTCCTCTGGCCGGCGCTCTTCGGAATGAGCCCTTCCCCATCCCGCCTCAGTGGCAGACTCCGCCCCTTCAAGGATCAGCCAATGGTGATCTTGTTCTGAAGACAGGGCCCCGTCTTACACGCCCTACTTATGGGATTTCTACCAATAGGGGGTGGGGGTGGGTACGGGGCGGAGGCTCCAACCCCCGCCCACGCCCTGGGCCAATGGGGGTGGGCACGTGGGCAGGGCCGGCGGCGCGGGCGGCGGCGAGCTGCGGGCATAGAGCTGCGGGCGGAGCGCCGCGCTCTGGCTCAGCTGCCCGGATCTGTCTCTCGGGCTCCGCCTGGCCCCTCAGCCCCTGCCGCCCCGGCCCGCTGCCCAGGTCCGGCGCGCTCCGGCCAAGGCTCGCCTGCCCCTGCGGGTGCGGGTGCGGGTGCGGGCCCGGGAGCGGGTACAGCATGGCGGTGGAGGAAGAGGGGCTCCGGGTCTTCCAGAGCGTGAAGATCAAGATCGGTGAGTGCCAGACAGCGGAGCCCTCGGCGCGGTGGCGCTGGCCCCGGGGCCAGGCAGGGCCAGCGGGACCGCTCCTCACTGGCTCCGCCCCGCAACCGATTTCTTTGGAGGGGATGCCACGGGGAAGGGGCGGCTGTCCGGACTGCCGAGGGCCCTGCCTGCGTGTGTATGTGTGTACAGGGGCCCTGGGGGCTACCTGCATGTGTCCTCGAATACAGAGGTGTGTAGAATTGCCTACGTGTGTCAGCCTGTGCAGGGGCGCGAGGAGCTGCTGGCGTGTGTCTTCGTGTGCCGGCGGGGTCTGTGCATTCCTGCATTTGCATGCTTGTACATGGTGTATGAGCGTCTGGGGGCTCGTGCTTACACTTCAGGAGGTAAATCTGTCGACAGAAGGTTCTCCGAATCCCCTTTTCCTTCTCCACCGGGTGCAGAAACTTCCTTTCCTGGGCATGGATTGGCTGCTCCACCCTGTCCCCAGGGAACTACTGGTCTGGGCTGTGTGCGGGCAGCTCTGCCCCCACCGCCGTGACCCCTCCCCCATCCATTGAGAACTGTGTGGAAGCGTTGGCCAGCAGGGTAGCCATCCAGCTCCTGGCTTGCTCTGGGCCTGGCTGTAGGGCGGCAGAGTCAAGGAGGGAAAAGGAAGTGGATTCCGACGAGTTCCCAGGGAAGTGGGGCTGTGGGACTTTCTGGTTCTATGTGAAGGGTTTGCTTTTCCAGCTACAGTATCTCTAATGTGGTAGATCACCCCCAAATAAGCTGATTTGCCAGAGCAACTTACCTACTAGTGCCTACTGTGTGGGGTGAGGGCCTGTCCTGTTTGGAGGAATTCTGTTAGTGCACAGGATGCAGCCCTGAGGTCCTCTCCCCCACTAAACTGGGAAAGGCCTGGGGGGGGGGGGGAGCAGTGACTGCTGAGTGTCCTTAGTTGAGAAATTCCAGCCACTCCAGTCAGAGAGTTGTTTCCTGTAGGCTTTATTTTGGTTTTGAATCATCGTGGAGACAGTTGGGCTTTGGCTCAGAAGCTAGTGGAGTATGTGGCCTGCAACTCTGTTTCTGGGATTGGAATCTGCTGTCAGCTTAAAACTGAGGCCTTTGCCTAGCTTTACCCTAAGCGCCTCCTAGTACCCTCCCTGCCTGGGCAGGCCAGAGGCCACTCCTCTGAGGGTCAGCTTCAGCAAAGAGCCAAGCTCCCTGTTTCAATGAGGAGTCAAGAGTCTGAAGAGTCTATGCTTCCTCAATGGGGGTGGGGCAGGAGGGACCTGAGTGGGTGTGACAAGGGAGGAACCTAGTGCCCAGGGCAGTGGGCAACCAGGTCAGGATCTCGCTTATCTGAATCCATGCATTCAGCCTCAGCCCAGTCCTCTGGTGGGAAAGGGAAGGAAGAGTTCTGGTGCTGAATCAAGGAGCATTTACTTTGGCATAATAATGAAGGTTGAGGAAAATCTCTGAGTGTCCAAGACAGCACTCACTGGCCTACCAAAAGAGCCAGCCCATACCCATTCTGGTGGGTCCCTCCCCCCAACAGTTTGAGAAGAAGCCGCTTACTGAGGCTGCCCTTCTCCGCTTTGTATTCCATGTTAAACGAGTGAGGGAAGCACCCATTGATGGAACACTAATTCCTTGTGGGGACTGGACAGTGTTTGAACTTAGAGCAGTGGCAGGAAGATAGATAAAGGTGCTATAGCTGTCCTGCTTTCTGAATGTGCTTCCTCTCTGGTTCAGAGAGGTTCCAGTTGCCCTCTTCTCTTTGAGGGACCTCAGGTTTTCACAGGAGGGAACCCATGGGCCCTCTGTAGCTGGGCTGTGCAGGTAGCTCAACTGTGCACAGACAAGCAGGGCACCCTTCTGTGTCTGAGCAGGGAAGATGTTGCAGGGAAGGCTGGGGCACCTGAAGGCGACTATGGGAAGCTGGTCTGGGGTTTAGTCTGCCTTGGTTGGCCTGCTGCCCAATGTGTGGGTCCTGAGGACAGGAGTGGAGGAGGGCTCTCAGATGGGAGTAGTGTGTGGCCACTGCTGCCTTGCCTACCTGATGTCCCTTGCCACTGCATTGATATCACACATACAGGCAGGGACACATGCACACAGTCCCCCTCACTGCTGTTCACCTGGGAGCCCTGTCTCTGGCAAGCTGGCTTTGCACCAAGCTTGCTGTGATGTGCCATATGATCCAGGGCAAGCATCTTCTTATTCAGGGTCTTGTTTTTCTGCAAAAGCTAGGTAATCACCTCTGTATCCAGTAGGGACTTTCAAGGCACTGCTGTGCAGGACATAGCCCCTCTCCTCACCCATTGTCCCAAAAAAAAGTGACAGGAAAAAAAAAACTGTCCCTAACATTATATAGGTAAACCTATTGCTAAGAAAAATAGTAGACCATTTCAGGGTGTTTGGGAACTCTTTTAGACCTGAGGCCTTGGCCTCTATAACTCTTATTTAGGAGCTTGTGCTGGTAAGAATCTCCCCCTTTCTCTTTTGTCTTTCTTGTTCCTACTACAACTTGCCAGTAGGATAACATAGAAGAGGCAAATAGAAATAAGATATTTTTACTGTAACCGTTTTAGAGTCCTTGTCTTGAAGAATCTGTTGCTTCCCCCATTTAAATGTTGCAGAGCTATTTCGGATGTGTTCTTCTATACACTTAAAGTCTTCAGCCCTGTGTCTTTGGGAACAATTACAGCTTTGTTACGGCAGTGCCTTTGCATCATGTGTGGCTCACTGGGGCTTCCTTGAGTTGGCTGTGTTGAGGAAGTGTGTGGTTCCGACTCCGTTCCGGATGGTCTGTGATAGGGAACTGTTGAGGTGGGGCCCTTCTACCCAGTGTTTTAGTCAGCTCTACGCTCCCTGGGCCTTGCCACATAGCTTCACTTCCTACTCCCATTTTCCTTTTGCACAACATTTACCCTTGTTTTCAAGTGCCATCTTATCTTGAGAAATATGTTCAGTGAAGAACAGTACACAAAAGTGTTTCTATCAGGTCTAGCTTTGCCTTCTAGGAGAAAAGTTCTCTTGAACATTTGTGACTTTGTTGGTCTTGCTTCTGTGGAGGTGTGGGCAGCATCAAGTCTACGCTAGAGACGGGGGTGGGGGGAGCTGTACTGTGTCTCCACCTTGTCTCTGCTGCCCACTTTCTGGCTGCTCCACTCCTCCTTGGTCTCAGCGCTTACTGTTCATAGTGCTCTTGTGCTCCTTTGCAATGAAATTAGAACTTGGTCATGAAGAATAGCAACAACTCCTCCCACTCAGCAAGACATGCTTGTTGCAAACTGTTGTGGGCTGGCCTGTTTCCAGCTCCTGCCCTCTCTCACTTGATGGCAAACAAAGTCTTGACCAGAGTAGGAAGAACCCAGAGACCAGAGAATAGGTTGGTGGCCATCAGTCAGAAGATAGGCAGGAGAACTCCCAGGCAGGTCACCAGCTGGAAGCTCAGGGATCAAATTCTGCAGGTGACGGCATCAGAGCTTGGCTTGCACCTCACAGTGTGACAATGTGCAGGTCCCAGGGATGATGTGAGGATCACACAAGTGTAGCCTGCAGGTGGAGAGGGTCCACTGTAACAGATTGGAATGATTTTTCTGGTAGTTTCCCCGCCCCTCCTCCCAAGGCTGGACTTGGAGAGGAATGGTGTTATGAATCCAGGCAGTGGCCTTAGTAATCCTGCTACCCTGCTACTTAGTGTGTGTGTGTGTGTGTGTGTGTGTGTGTGTGTGTGTGTGTAAGGAGGGGCCATGCTGGCCATTCGCAGTCGTTGGCATCAGAGATTTTAGATTCTCTTGATCTCTCTGATGCTAAAATTAACTTGGATCTTCCATTAACCAGGCTCAGAGGAGCTCATGCTATTTTTATTTCAAAGGACTAGTGAACTGGGCTGGGCCACTACTGCTCTTTGGGAGCCATGAAGGCTGTAGTCAGAGCTGCAGGGGTTTAGATTCAAAGTGAGTTCCTGCATGTACAATTTCATTTCACTTAAATTCTGACAACTTCATGATAGTGATGTTGAGGAAGACAGACCCACAGGACATAACCTATCTCAGGTTGTCTAGTGATGGAGGGAACTGGGCCGAAGTCCTCTCCCTCTTCGTGCTGTCAGTCATTGTAGAAGAATGCCTGCCTTCTTACCTCTAACTGAGTGAGGGACAGTGCAGGGCTGGGAGAGAAGGTATGGCTTTGGGGACAAGAGGCAGCTAATGTCCAGAAGGAGGGGAAGAGGTCACAGGCCATGTGCAAGGACAGAAGGGTGAAGTGCTGGTGAAGGAGGCTGAGACTTGGTCTCGCTGACCAAGGGTGTAAGGACAGGAAAGGGGTGAATCTTTGAGCAGGGCCTCTGGCCATTCCAGCCCTCTGGCAGTTAGGTGAGCCTGGCACTAGCCTGGAGTTTAGAGGCCCCAAGATGACTTGTGGATGGAGTCACTTGAATGGACCACTGTACTAGCTCTAGAAGCTGGTGAAGCAACTGAGTGCATAAACTTCGTGTTCATATGCATACATGCAAATACACATGGACACATCTGAATTTGTATGCTTTAATTTTGTAACTTGAACAACTATTTCAAAGATGACAGTATATAATTTATCAACTAGTGATTTCTTACTGTTTTTTGAAATTCTGTATTACTACCCTTTTTCTGTTTTGCCTTTTTTCTCTTTAAATAAAATTTAAAAAAAATACATATGGACATATCTGCACACTCACACGAGCTAAGCGAGTTGCCTGTTTTTTGCTGAAGTTGTTGAACATCATACACTTGTTTATTTATTTATTTATTTATAGACAGGGTCTCACTACATAGTTCAGGCTGGCCTTGAACTGACTATGTAGCCCAAGCAGGCCCTTGAACTCACTATATGACCAAGTGAACTCACAGTGGCTTTGAACTCACAGTGATCTTCCTGATCTCTTGAGTGCTGGAATGACAAGCGTTCATCACCATGGCTGGCAAATATTGCTTTGAAGGCAGTATTGAATATGTTTGGTTGACTAGATGCAGTCACAGCAGAGTGGG